ATTCAAATTCCTAAGTTTGAAAGGCGAGAATGAAAAAAAAAAAAAATTAAAAGTAAACAAGATATCAAGGTCAACATGAGACACAAGGCCAGAATTTGAACCCTGCACGCCAAGTCTCTTTTCACACCATTACACTACCTGCACAATTCTAATTACTGAACATGCAAGTTAGAATCTTTAAAATGGTGTGCATGGCTGATTTGATGAATAAGGTTCAATTGCTGTACAGTTTGCCAAAATTAAAACGAGGCTGAAAATTGCAAAAATAATCAACAGGAACCACCAAACTTTGAAGGAGTTTGTTGAAGATCCTGGATGATTCCAAGACATATTTGATAAGAATTGAGGATTTTATCTTCTTCATCTGCAGACAATATCACTGCAGTGTTATCATGTGGTTATAAAACATCTTTCCTTGTGAAATCTTGTAGCAGCAAGAAAATGTCAAAAGGTCCAATGTATCTGACCCTAAATCAAGTTGAAAAATATAGAAAACTGGATTTCTTTTAAAAGATGTCCCTAAGGACAATCAAATAAAATGGGTACATATACACCAAAACTGATTTTCAACCATATTTTTCACCAAGAAATGACATGTTGTCGACAAGAGCAAAGGCTACTGGTGAAAACAGCCCTCACAGGTTGAAATATCAACAAGGCATGGTTGGGGTGATGTTCTGTGGGCAAGATTACATTATGTGAAGTTATGAGCCTAAGACAAATTCCAGATGGTTTTAATTGATTGAGCGATTTCTTTTTTCTTAAGGCTTAACTTTTTGCAGGTTATTTAAAGCCAGAAAATATTTTTAGATTGTAAGATTGGAGATAATTATTTACTGATACAAGTTCTATTAATTAACCCATATCAGGGAGGATGAGAGGTGTATTCTTACCTTTCCCAAAAGTATTTATGTGTAAGTGAATAAAACAAATCAGACTGGAATTGGAACTCAGCTCTCTGATTTGAAGAGCACACATGGATCTATAGTTCAGAAAGCAAAGCATTTTCATGCATGACACTGTTTCATCAGATTCAGTGAAAAAGACTAATGAATATCTGAATAAAATGGGTTTCATAGATAATTAGTGAAGTGGTGAGCTTCTTTGATGGAATAACTCGATCAAAAACTTGTGGTTCATTTTGAACAGAAACATTATATTAGAAGTCAGTAATTTACCATCAAGAAGGAATATTTAAATTATGGATGCTGTGCAATCTGTTTCATAAGAAGAAATGAAACAGCTGACAAAATCAATGAATGATTTCCAAAACTATTTTCAGAACATAGAGCATATATTTTATATTAAAGCTGTTTCTATAACTTTGTCATAACATATTTTTGATATTTTTCTTCAAAATAATTGTCTTTGTGAACATTCTACAATTATAATTTTTAATTACAATGTTTTTTTTTTGAGTTTTTTCAGTAATCCGATTAATAATGGAAAAGCTGGAAAAATTCATAAAATTGTTTCCAAATCTTAAAAGTGACATGTCATCTATTCTAATTTCTATACAGCTTGAGATATACTCTGGTCATTAATAGTGCAAATATTTATCAGAGACCTTTCAGTAGTTATCTAAATATTAAAAAAAATAAAAAATAAAAAAAAAATAAAAACTGGTTAATGTCTTACTCACTCACTCTCAAATAATTTGTAAATCCAAGAGGGTAAGGGAAATAATAATGTTAAGCAATGTGTCCCTATATATATATATATATATATATATATATATATATATATATATATATATATATATATATGTGTGTGTGTCCCAAAACAAATGTACTCACTTTGACTTGATATAACTTCTTGAATTTTTTTTTTTTTTCAAAACAATGCATTTAATTTCATTTAATATCAAATTTAAACCATTAATCTTGTTTTAAAGTCAATAAACACTGCATTTATCATCAGTAAAAATGAGTACATTTTTGGGGCGTGGGCACCCTACATATATATGACAAAATGTGAAAAGTTTTCTTGTGACACGTTTCCATCCTTTAGGACTTCATCAGACTAAATTTAGTCTGATGAAGCCCTAAAAGACAAAAAGCATTACAAGAAAATTTTTCCCATTTTGCCACACATTTTTTTTCCCACATTGTTTTTGATTATATATATATATATATATATATATATATATATATATATAGTATATCAAAATACTTCTTAAAACTTTGAAGGTTGGTTCCTCAAGCAAGAGCAAAAGTCCATATAATCATATGTCTTCAAATCTTTCATTTTTGAGTTATGTTTAAAAAAAGTTTATGCTAGATGGCACTGTGTTACAATGTAAACTAGGTTATATTTGTCATTTGTGTACATCTGTGGATAGTCTCTCTTCAATAATTAACATGTGTAGTAGTGAGTTAACCAAGAAGTGTTCTGTTTAACAATGGCAAGATATTCATATCATGAACAGGCAGATATGATTTTTACTTCAGGACTTCATTGGACTAAATTTAGTCCAGTGAAGTCTTAAAGAACAAAATGCATCACAAGAAAATTTTTCACTCCCTGTCATACATTTTTTCACAATACTGTTATTGACATATAAAATATATATTATTATCTCATATATATATATATATATATATATATATATATATATATATATATATATATATATATATATATGTATGTATATAAACACCCACTAAAAATATCCAAGCTCTGCCATTAGGCCTTGAGCATTATTCTGTGTCATATTTTCTTTAGAGTTATCACTCAGCCTCCATTTACCCTAAGAGCCGTTTCATTCCATAAACTGAAACTTTTGAATACATTTATTTGAATTTAAAAAAAAAAAAAAAAAAATTAAGGCTGTTTTTTTCTTTTTCATAATATACATTTAAATCATTAATATTGGTGATATACTTTTTGACTAAAAGGCATTGAACAGATATTTTAAGAGATTTGAATTTTTTTTAATTAAATAAAAATAGAAAAACAGAAAATCATTTTGCTCTTTACAAATGATCTTGAAGAAAAACTGATCTCAGACTAGAGATAAAGAGTAAAGAAAAACTAAGTTTGAATAAAAAATGAAAGAAATAAAACATTAAGATAGACATTGATAATTAAAAGACTGAATACAGATGAAATAGTAAAAGCACAAGTTTTTAACATATCACATGAAAGATGAAAATACAAACATACAATACACATATCTTATATGTTCCAAAACTCATTGAGTCTGTTGTCTTGATACCTTTGTTCCATTGTTGGAATATATGTATACTGTATGGTCTACACTATGAAAGAGACATTTTTTTTTTTTTTGTAACAATGATACAAAAGATATGAAATAAAAAAAGAGAGTGTGAAACAAAATGTGAAAGGTGACAGTCCTAGTGACCAGTCGTTGTCATGTGCAACTGGTCACTCTAAAAGAAGCGGTGATGTTACAGTTACAAACAGAAAAGAAAACTGTACAGAAAGTAGCAATTAAGTGATAGTAAATTGCACAGGTTGACAGAAGCAGAAAAAGAGAGAAAAAGAGAAAGAAAGAAACAAGAAAGTAACCTTTTTAATTAGTTAAGAAAAAAACAAAAAACTTGTGTACAATATTTATATACACTTACACACAATATGACTTGCAACCAAAAGCTCATCTGCACCGAATATAGAATTGTCATGAGTGTTTCAATATAAAAGTGTTTGTGTATGAATTTGACACAAATGATGAGGGGAGAATGAATATTTATAAGAAATGAAGATGGCGGGGAAGTAATGACCTGTTTTTTTTTTGTTTTTTTTTAAAAAGCAAACTTCCAGGTGACCTTTTTTTCTTTTTTAATCATTTCACCCCAAGCAAGGTGATAAACCCACTAAGATGAAAAGGGTTTCTGAGAATAACCTCCAGTAGATGGTTGATTTGAATTTAAGACAATAAGCTAATAAAATATTCCAAAGTCTTTAATTATATTTTCCAAATTTAGCCAAGAAAAACAATCAAAAGCCTTTTACAGCAACCAAGTTAATATGTCAGCCCAATATAATTTTTTATGATTATTTTGCTAATGTCAATTCATACACTAAATACAATAAATGAAGCAGCAACTGAGATAACTCAAAACCAACAAAGACATAAATATATTGTTATCCTAGACTGGCTGCCACCCAAGGCTACAATCAGAGACATATACACTATTCTTATTTTTTTGTTTATAGACAAAGTCCAGTGGTAGATTCAACTACTGATGGTTAATTTACTAGCATTTGCTTATATATTTCATAAATGATGCAGAATTTTTTAAAAATATTTAACTTTATTTTAATAATAAAGATCTTTGATGAATTTATTAACACCTGAAGATCTCTAAAATTAAAAGGCCTATAAATTTGTCTAATGTTTCTAGCTTGCACCCTACCAATAAAATAAAATTTGTAGATAATTTACTAGAAAAGAGAATTAACAATAAAAAAAAAATTGTTGCCTATGACTTTGGAAAAAGACATGAAAACATTGAATACTATTAAGAGATATTCAGAGCCCTTCTTTACTTTATGTTGCTAACTTATTCCCTGAGCTGAAGAGGTGGATTCATGCCTAATCAGAATTTGGGAAAAACACAAGCAATTCTAATATTGATATAAAGTGGGTAATCAATTCAACATTACAATCAATGGATAAAATCCTTCACTTTGTGGCCACAGTAGTTTCGATACATTTTTATTCCAGAGAATGTAAATAATTCTGAATGACATGCCTGTGTTGTTAATCAGTGTGTGTTTGATTCATTTTTTAAAACTTACCAACCCTTTTGCAGGTTATTTAAAGCCAGAAAATATTTTTAGATTCTAAGAATTTTTTTTTTGCATATAATAGTGCTTTAGTGATACAAGTCTTGCTAATTAACCCACAGCTGGGGTGAGGGGATGGATTTGTACTTTTGCGTAAGTGAATATAACAAACCAAATTGAAATTGGAACTCAGCTCTCGGATTAACAATTCCGAGCCATTATCCATTATACCACCTACGCATCCAAACTTACAACACTTGGTATTCCCAAGCTGTCACTCATCTAGGTACTGACCAGGCTCAACATTGCTTAACTTCACTGATTGTACAAGAACCAGTGTTTCAACCTGAAGTAATTATGAGGAAGAGGTTCAATTGTCCAAACAATATTTGAAAGAAAAACATTTAATAGGAATATAGGATAGAAAAATCTAACTTCTTGAGGCATGTTCATATTTCGGTTTTTGTCATATTGCCAAAATATTTACTATTCTTTAAATAAATGCTTTGACGTAATAAAAAAAAAAAACACAAACATTTTATAAAAATTAGAGAAATAAAATTTAATGCAGAAATTTTATCTCCTTTTTTTCATTGTTTTCTTTTCAGTAATTTTAAAAGAATTTTTCCCAGCACATAGCAAACAAAGCTATTCCAGCATCAAATTACACAAGTGTTTCTCAATGTTTTTAAGCAATGGCACACCTATGAACAAATGAAAATATGGCACGGTTAGCAAAATCTTTAAGGGATATACATTTAAGTATAAAAAGTTAAATTAAAAAATAAAAATACTTTTTGAAAAAAAAAAGTATTTAAAAAAGTTAATTGAAGAGTAACGAAAAGAATTATTTGAAAAAAAGTTTAGTACTTATTCATTTATTCAAACACTAACGTTATGCCATTTCTATTTACACCCACCCACCCACACACATGCCATGACAATATTTTGAGGCACACTTTTAGGGGATTGCATGGCATAGCAGTTGAGAATCACTGGATCAGTGTTATTTAATTTTACCACTATTTAAATAAATCTAATTAAAATTATCAAAAATTAATAACATTAAATTCAATTATATATTCCCAAATCATTTCATTAAATAGTTTACAAACATTATCAAATAAAAATTTTCTTTTATCTAAACAAAAACTGAATTTTTTTTATACTTTCATGCAAAACTAAAACCAAATACATTTCTTAAATATAAATTTCTAATAATTTTCTAAGAAACAATATCAAAGTCCTCCATCGTCTACATACATTGATTTTCAAACTAACTATTTTATTGAGGCAACAAAGCTTTATAAATTTTTTTACCACAACTATCTTACAAACTAGTGTGTATGTATATATATATATATATATATATATATATATATATATAGATAGATAGATAGATAGATAGATAGTGCATATAATATGTGCTGGTGTTAATAAAACAGAACTCGATTTTTTTTTTTTTTAATTTAAAACTTTTTTTAAAAAATACAGTAATCTCTCTTTATGCTTAATATGAAATATTCACAACTTTAAATAATTTTTTTTTTTTTGATCTCTCTCTGTGTGTGTGTGTATATATATATATATATATATATATATATATTCGGTAAATCGAATTGAGTTCTCTCAGTCACTGTGTGTTTATCTAAAAATAAATACACTTAAAATTCAGCTTCATCCCTGCCGTGCGCCAACGGCTTAGTGGTAGAATCCCCGACTGACGCCAATTTAATCGGGTTTCGATCCTAGCTAGAGGCAACCGAATGTCTAGCCACACTGATGGGCTGTGATACAGCGAAACAGTCTGTCTGTGGATGACATATATATATATATATATATATATATATATATATCCATACACACTGGTGAACTGTGATTGTGATACAGCGAAAGTCTGTGGATAACAATATATACGCCCCACAATACATTAATTTTTGGTTGAGCACTCTGGAGAGAAAGTGTGTATTTGTAAACAGTGACAACTACTGCTGATAATGCAAAGCTCTTCTATGAATTGAGCTCTCTTGGTCACTGGCATGTTCATTCAAAGAATAAATATGCAAAAATTCATCTTCCTCTCTACCGGGTACCAATAGATTAGGGGTAAAATCTCCAACTATTACCAAATCAGTTGGGTTTCAATCCTGACTTGAGGCAATTGGATGTCTCGCTAGACTGATGAACTGTGATACAGTGAAACAGTTTGTCGGTGGATGACTATATATATATATATATATATAAGCAAATATATGGATATAGATCTGACAGTATGAAGAAAAATATACTGAAAAAACAAACAAAAATCCTAATATGCGATTATGCTGTTTTAATGTTTAATGTTTGGATTTGTATTGCTTTTATGTCCATCGTCTTTTTCCTGTTGAATTGTATATGGTCTATGTTAATTATGTTTTATGAATATATCCTGAAGATGGTCTATTAGACCGAAACGTCTGACGTTGACATTAAACAGCATATTAGGATTTTTTGTTTTTTCAGTATATATATATATATATATATATATATATATATATATATATATATATATATATATCATTTATTTTATTTTAAATGCAAAATATATTTTCAAAATGAAAAAAAAATGTAAGTTCAATATATGAACTGCAGCAACATTGCACTAACTAGATATATTTTAAATTTTAATTATGTAATGGCCAGTCTATACTCAGCACTTGAAGGTTGTGTTGTACATGAAACTGAGTTGTGCTAACGGTGAGGGATCATATGTATCTGATTAATCCAAATGTAAAATTTATCACTTAGTTGATTGATGTTATATTCAGCACCTCAACTCTAGAGTTTCAGAGACGAACATTTCTGTAATCATTTGGTCCACTCGTCAGGAGGGTTAAGCAATTGACTGCATATTTCCACACTTTTTTTTACAGTAATTTATGTGCTTTTTATTTGTGTTAGGTTGATTTTGTTTTTTGTCATGTGTTTGTGTTTGTGTGTGCATGTGCTTAGGTGTCGAAGGTCATGGTTATTTCTCTTTTTCTTTTCCCCACTTGTACTCTCTCCCTTTTCCTTATTTTTTTTTCCCCTCTTTTTTGGCTCTAAGTGTCAAAGATAATGTAACAATGTCATTTCCAGTGTCATAGACAGAACATTTCGGTTATTTTGGGTAATTCATTTTCTATATATCTTTGCTAGCTGTATTCTGACGGGGTAATTTAATCAAGAATCTAAATAGACATTGTTTGCAACGTATCTATCAAAATACTAAAAAAATTAATCTACAAAGTAAATCTGCAAGTTATATTCAAAATGTTTAACATTCAGTGTTGAAGAGTAAAACTATTGATACAAGAGCCCAAAATGGTGGCAGCTACAAACATTACAAGTAAACAAAGAATAATGTTTTTTCTGCAAAAATGTACAGGCCTGGGGGAATAAAAAAAACAACAACAACTTCTAATCAATCTTTACAATACTGATACACCATCATGAAGATATTATTAAAATAAGATTAAACAAAAATTAAAAGAGGGTTGTCAAAATGGGTTTTGAATAAAAGGAGAAAATGATGCTTGAAATGGCAATTGAAGTGACATGCAATATGTCTAATTTTTTTTGCTGATGATATTAGGTCTTTATCCTCTACTCAAGAGCAAAAAATAAAATAAGTTTTAGTTAATTTACGCAAGGGAATCAGGCAGCAAAATGATTGAAATACTTTCAAGATTTATTAATAGTTTTCTTCATTTTTATATAAGCTTTATATAATTTGTTTAGCCTAGTAAGAGTCGTTTAATATCTTAACCAGTGATATTAGCCAATACAATAGTCATCATTATAAGTAATCATTAAAAAAATATGTGATTAATGAGAATTGCTTCTTAGAAGAGGAGGATGTGTGACAGTTATGGGTATGGGCAGTAGGCTCAGTAAGCCAAGTCTGCCCGAAACTGCTGCATTCACTTTCACACAAATACTCCCGGGAAATGTAGAAATCCATCTCCTCGTCTTCTACCTATGGGTAGATTGAGTAAATACTGGATAGCAGCCTGTCTAGAAGGACTATTTTGCGTTCAAAACTGTGAAATATAGTAGCGTGTACAAATCATGCCTCTATATTTTTCAAGAAGTCAGTCATGGCAAGTCACATTTTTTTTTTGCCAAGAAATGAAATTATGGAGAGCCATGATTGTGCATGTACTGAAGGGATATGGCATTTATACATATAACATGAATATTCCACATTATCTTGAAAACATTGAATATCAGGAAAAATAGTAGCAAAGATATTTTAACGTATTTATTTTACTAATACATTTTCATCTATATTATCATTTGATAAGATAGTAAACCATCGTGCAACCCAATACAAAATGACAGTTTAAAGATTAAAGAAAAAGTAAATGTAACAAAAAACGAAGAGTTTTTAACAAAAGCATTTATCTGACAGTACAATAATAATTTTTAAAAATAAAAACTGAAACAAGAAAACAATGACGTTATTTCTTTTGTCAACACAGCGAGAGCTAAAAACAATTTGATTTTGCATTCGTAAAAACATCATAAAATGTGAAAGACATAAAGCAGACAAATTACTAAGTAAATATTATTTAAAAATTCAGAATATATATATATATATATATATATATATATATATATAAAAAATAAATCCTGTATGTGCAGCAAGATGAAGGTAGATTATGAGACAGACCTAGGTGCAAACTTTAAAATTATTTTTAAAATAAAAAAAAAAAAAAAATAAAAAAGCAACTTTGAACATAAAATTTCTAAAAATAAGTTGAACTTTAAACCAAATTTGTTCCCTGATGAAAACAATGACAAGAACCAATCTTGGCAGAGAACAATGGTAATGATGACGATGGTGGTGGTGATGATGATGATGCACATTGACATTAAAAATGTTTGGAGACAATTTAAGCAGTAAAAATAACAGCAGGGAAACTGCACACCATACTAACTCAAGAGGTACAACACTTATCAAACAAACTACTACAATAAAGAAGACAACACCTCACATTACCTGTAGCAATATCTTTTATGTGTCAGTGGAAGAAGAGAAACAATTCCATTTGTATTATTGAGGATTAGATAATATAAAGTGTATATATATATATATATATATATATATATATATATATATATATATATATATATATAAATAATAAAATGATTAAAAAGATCCAGTATTTTAAACTAATTTAAGTCTACTTACACTATTTACATTTTTCAGACTATTGTCCTCATTTTCATTGTCATATTCACAATGTTTCAGCCATTGCATGCTCCAGGCTTCTTCAGGTCATATACATTGGAATTTCAAACCAAAGTCTTTATTTCATCAA